AAATATTTATTAATTATTTTTTAAAAATTATCGATAGATTATCGAAGGTTTTGATTAACCAAACGATCGATAAAATATCTAAAACTTCTTTTAATCAATTATGGTAATAATATTTGACAAGTATAACATTTATCAAATTTTAAAATTTTAGTTATCGATAAACTAAGTATAATATACTTAAGATAAATAACCTATCGATAATAAATTTTTTTTATTTTGGGTTAAAATCAATTTTACCGATAATTTATATTATTTGCCTTGAGAAATTGAGAAGAAATAGTTAGTTGATAATTTTTTATTTGTAGCAGTTTTAGCACAGCTTTTTTTATATCTTTTCGATCAATTTTATTCTATTAATTCAAGTTAAAAACTAGTCATTGCGCCCTATATCATTAATTTTTTATTATTATTTTTTGTGATTTAGATAAATTTTAATCGATAAATTAAATTATTGATTAATCGATAATTACTTTAGACAGTATCGAAAGAACTATTTTTAATTTTTGTCTTCTAAAGTTGAGAAGAAACAATTAGTTAATTTTATTCGATGATTTCTTATTAGTACCATTCTTAGCAAGAATTCTACAAATTTCGGTAAATTTTACCCGATTAATTAAAGTTAAAAGTTAGTCATTAAATTTTTTAAGTCAGTGTTCCAGAAGGTTTTATTAAATTAACTTTAATACATCCATTAACCATACTGAAACACTTTATTAAACTTGTTTCCAATTTGCGGTTTTATTATTCTATTTTTAATGTTATCGATTTTTTTAAATTCGATTATTTTCGATAAATTATATCTGATCAAAAATATTTTATAACTTGAACTATGTTTTCAAAAAATACCAAACTTAATATTATTTTTTTATTTCTTGGTGAATGTCACTGAAGACTTTCTAAAAGGTCAAGGGATAATTTTTGGCTCTCAGAAAGTAGTATTATATTACAAGAGACTTTAAATTTGTGAAGTCAGTTTTTTTGTTGTTACTACTTATAATAAAAACATTTTGAGACTTATAATAATATTTTATGGACGCCTTTAAAATATGATCTAAGAGAGTCTCGTAGAAACCTTAGTTTTCCTAAAATAATTTCGTGAGCACTAGTTTTTAAAAAGCAAAATTGATCGCATCTCATTTCTTTATCTCGCTAAAAAATCAAAAACCGAAAACCCACAAACACTATTTTTGCACACACAGTTAAATCAGGAACCCTACGATCCGCCCCAAATAAAACGCAACAAACCCAATGATGAAGAGAGCTGCCAAGATTGCTGTGCGAATTTGTGTAAGGTAAGCCCTACTCAAGCAACCCAGCCAAGTCTCAGACCCGAAAAGAGCATTATTTTATATATTTAAATATTTTCCTCGAAATTTTTCGCTCGCAGGTCACAACTAAGGGCAAAATGAAGGCATTGCTGACCAAGAACTTCCTGCGTATGTGGCGTAATGTCGGCGTTATGCTGTTCATTTTCGCTTTACCCGTTATGCAGGTGATACTCTTCTGTTTGGCAATTGGACGTGACCCGACTGGCTTGAATTTGGCTATCGTCAACAGCGAAATGAACAACACAGTGAGTTCCAGTTCCTTTTTAGTGAAAGTTTTCGAATAACAACTCTAAATAAAACTCTTCTATTTTTAACTCTTAGAACATCTGTCATTGGGAAGACTCTTGCCACTTCACGAATCTCGGCTGTCGCTATTTGAGTCATCTGAATGACACCATGGAAAAGACATACTACACGGACTTGGAGGAGGCGAAAGATGCGGTGCGCGTGGGCAAAGCTTGGGGTGTGCTTTACATAACGGAGAACTTTACGGACGCCTTTGTGGCGCGTGTAGCATTGGGTATGTTCAAAACATGCGCCCATTTTTTCAATAATCATTCATTTAAGACTTATTATTCTTACTTTTTGGCCTCACTTCTGTATACTTTAGGACGTGACGCGGATGATGAGACCATTGATCAGTCGGAAATCAGAGTGTGGCTTGATATGTCCAATCAGCAAATCGGTATTATGCTGAATCGTGACATACAGCTGGCCTATCGTGCTTTCGCCATGAACTTGCTTGATCAATGCGGCAACAATCCGAAGCTCGGCGATGTGCCAATACAATTTAGAGAACCCATTTATGGCACCATGAATCCATCATTCACAGATTTCGTTGCGCCCGGTGTGATATTGACGTAAGTTGTGGCGTTGGCATTCGCTTTAAAGGAAGTCCACACATATATTTTTTTGTTTAATTTTTTTTTTATCGTTTAATTGCATTGCAAGTCTTATTTGTGTTTTTTAATTTATTGTGTTTGCTTTCGGAATTTATAGCATTGTGTTCTTCTTGGCTGTTGCATTGACGTCATCCGCTTTAATCATCGAACGCACTGAGGTGAGTACATACTTTTTGCGCATAGTGTTAATGGATATGACACAGGTGGAATGAAAATAAAACTTACATCATTTCCTTTGTCAAAAACAGTTATTGGTTTTGTTTTTTCTTCGTTCGGACCCTCAGAACCAATGTATAGATAATATTTATTACCTTTCTTTCAAAATTTAACAGGAACTAGAATTATTGGCTTCACTTATCTACTCATTTTTCATGCAAAGATTTCGTCGAAATTGGGATGATAACCTTTACTTACCAAGATTAAAGATAGATCACTTTTCTAGATATAGTTGAGGTTTCAAGACCGGAGCAAACTCTTGCCGAACCCGCGGAGGTGATCTAGTGTCTGATGCTCAGAGCATACTGAAGTTATAGAGGGAACACTTCTTCAACCTACTGAACGACAGTGAAAGCATAAAGACAGGAAAAGACGAACCCGATTTCCTAATCGAAGATGATAGAGCAGACGTTCCATTACCCGACCATGAAAAAGTTCGAATAGCAATTACCCGTCTGAAGAATAATAAAGCGGCGGGGGCCGAATGATTGCCAGCCGAGCGTCAACAAACTGATTGGGCCTTATCAGTGTGGCCTTAGGCCTGGAAAATCAACAACTGACCAGATATTCATCATTCGCCAAATCCTGGAAAATAGTCGTGAAAAGGGAATCGACGCACACCAACTTTTCGTCGACTTCAAAGCTGCTTTTTACAGCACGAAAAGAAGCTTCCTTTATGCCGCGATGTCTGAATTTGGTATCCCCGCAAAATGAATACGGCTGTGTAAGCTGACGTTGAGCAATACCAAAAGTTCCCTCGGGATCGGGAAGGACCTCTCTGAGCTGTTCGATACAAAACGAGATTTCAGACAAGGCGACTTGTTAGCAAGCGATTTCTTCAATCTATTCCTACAAATTAAGAGACAGCGGATACGCTGACTAGGTCTTGTCGTCCGCAAAATTAGATCATAAAACAATCCATTTTTTCAGTCCTTCGGTAGCGTCTAACGGCCTTTTACGGGTCGTGGTCTTCAAGGCAAATCATAAAGCCGTGAAAATAACAAGAGTTTCGAAAATTAATTAACCTTTGAGCTGACTAAAAATGGTCCCATGTTTAAAGGTAGTTCTCGCACCAAGTAAAGATCTGCGCTTTGTTAAACTGACTTCTTTAAATCATTTTAGCCGCGTAGTATTGTAAATGCATATTTTTCTAGATTGAGCAAGAATTCCAATACTTTTACGGGGTCAAATCTATGATTTTACGAAAAATTCTGCCAAAAAATATCTGTCTTCTATATTGCATACCGCTTTAATTTTCACTTTTCTAAATACTTTCAGGGTTTACTCGATCGCTCTTGGGTCGCCGGTGTCTCACCTAGTGAGATCCTCTTCTCGCATGTCATCACACAATTCGTCGTCATGTGTGGCCAAACAACGCTCGTACTTATCTTCATGTTGGTCGTCTTCGGTGTAACAAATAATGGCGAACTCTTCTGGGTGATCGTGCTGACACTCTTGCAGGGTATGTGCGGCATGTGCTTTGGCTTCCTCATCTCATCGGTATGTGAGTTGGAACGTAACGCCATACAATTGGCGTTGGGCTCATTCTATCCAACATTGCTGTTGTCGGGCGTGATTTGGCCCATCGAAGGCATGCCCATCGTGCTGCGGTGAGTTGAAGTTTTTTGTATAAATTTCTCTCTTGCTTATTCAGTAGCTCTCTCATTTATATTCACCATCTCCTTTATGTTTATTCATTAGCTCTCTCATCTATAATCACTATCTCTCTCATGTTTATTAACTATCTCTACCTAACTGTTAATTATATGCGCTCTAACGGTTATTAATGTACTCTGTAACTGTTATTTATAAGTTTATTAGTCCTTTATTTGCTCTCTAACGGTTATTTATGTGCTCTCTAACTGTACAGCTACATATCGCTTTGCCTGCCGCTCACACTCGCTACCACATCGCTGCGCTCGATATTGACGCGTGGCTGGCAGATCACCGAAATGGCTGTGTATTCCGGCTTCCTGAGTACGCTCGCGTGGATCGTCGGCTTCCTGATACTGACGTTGTTGGTGTTGCAAGCGAAACGTGGATAGAAGCACTACGGGTTTTTGCAACAGCAAATTGGGAGCAACAAATTAATTTAATATCTTTTAATTTTTTTTTACTTTATTAATTAACTTACGATACTAGAAATTGTACAGAAATGAAATTAAGAGCAAAGAAAATCAAAATTGGATTGATTAATAAATCCAAAACTGTATCTATGTATATATGTACATATGTATGTATATGCATATGGTGGGCAGATCACACCGGAGATCTTGTGTAAAGTGAAAAGTGTCGATCGCATTGTAGCTGAGTTTTTAGTTGTAGAGAGTAAATATTAATTAAAGCAAAACAACAACAAAGTAAAAAAATATATATATATATAAATATAAAAACAACAACAATTGTTTAAGGTGTCTTGTCCTAATGTTAGCATTAATTCATATCATATTAAGCATATTGTCTAGTTTATTTCGCACATACACACACACAACACATACATACACAAAATCAAGTGCGGCGACTAACAGAAGAGCTACAAAGTTCGAAATACAGACAAAGTTGTGAGAAAAAGCACGCATGTGTAATTTGATGAAATTCAATTTTTTTTTATTAAAGAAATTTAAAAAATTAATAATAAAAAAAAATATTAAACATT